CTGAGTTATTCAGTCATTGTTGACAGAGGAAACAGTTGCAAAACAAAAGTAATGGTGATAAGGAACTCCTTGAAATATTTCATCTCTGATATTATTAACCTCTCCCAGCCTCTCATCCATTGAATCGCCAACTGTGTCTTCCATTGTGCCATCGATCTTTGTACAAATTTTCTGATGTTTCTACTGACTCCTGTTATTTCTAGGCACTTGATTATCCAATCATGTGGCAGAGAGTCAAATGCCTTTTTGTAGTCAATCCATGCCACATTCAGGTTGGTCTTCCTTTTCTTGCAGTTTTCCAAGATCATTTTGTCTATTAGGAGTGGATCTTTTGTTCCTCTGCTATTGGGGCGGTTTCCTTTCTGCTCAGGTGGAAAGAGATTGTTTTCAACTAGATGCTGTTGTACTGCATCAGCTACCACACCAGTTAGTAATTTGAAAGTTGTTGGTAAGCAGGTAATTGGCCTGAAGTTACCTGGTGTTGCCCCTTTTGCTGGATTTTTCATTATTAGGTAGGTTTTCCCAGTTGTTAGACACTTTTCAATTTCTCCTCCTTGTAGTATATTGTTGAACTGTTTGGCAATGAGTGGGTGTATAACAGTTAGATGTTTCAACCAAAACCCATGCAGTTCATCTTCACCTGGTGCTGACCAATTTTTGATTTTCTTTGCTCTTTTTTCTACCATTTTTGTTGTTATTACTAGTTCTTTCATTTCAACTTCTGTTTTATTTGCATCCACCTCTTTTAACCAAGCCGCATCCTTGTTGTATTTTTTTGGGTTATCCCATATCTGCTTCCAGAACTGCACTGTTTCTTCCTTGTCAGGTACTGACTGATTCATTGCAGTTTCTCGATTGATGGATTGGTAGAAACGTTTCTGATTGGATTGAAATTGGAGGTTCTGCCTATAGTTTGCAATTCGAGCTTCATATCTACTGATTTTCCTGGCTATAGCTGTTATTTGTTGCTTTATTATTTCCAGTGCTTCCGTGATCTTCCTTGTTTCTAAGTGGTATTTCTTGATTAGGTATTCTTTGGTCTTCTTGTTCTTCAGCTTCTTTTCTTTCATCTGTTCTAGCTTGCTTGCATGTGATCTTAACTTGCTGATCTTATTTTATAGTCTAACCTTCCATTTTTGTGGTGCACTGTTTGTTTGTTTTTCTTTTTTGTTGATTTTACATCCCAGGTATTCTGTTATAACTGCAGCTGTGCTGTACATTAGTTGGTTTGTTTCTTGCAGTGAATTGGTGCTTATACTTGATATTGCAGTATTTGCATCTTTTAATGCTTGTGCTAGCTGTTTATTTGGAACAAGCTTCAATGCAGGTAGCCTTATTCTGTTGTTTTTGTGCTGTTCTAGATGCTCAGTTATTCTTTGTTTCAATTCTTTTATTTCTTTAGTTAGAGGGTTTTGTTCTTCCTGAGAAAGAAGTGCCTGGTTTCCAAATGAGAGCAGTTGTATATCTCTGCTGGATTCCTTCACTGCCAACTCCCCCTGGTTTGCCTCTACATTCTGAATTACTTCTGGTAAGGCTTTGATTTCTTTGCCCTGGTAACTTTGCATGTTCGTCCAATTCTGTTTCGTAAATACTTTATTTCTGTTATAAATCGGCGTTGATCTGCTAGTCTCTGTTCTGTTATTTCTGATTCTGGATGGTGTTCTTTCCAGAATTGGTGCATTCGTTTTAGATATCCTCGCCTTGTTGGACTTGATCTGTAGTAACAGATCATTATTTCTTTGTTTTCCATCACTGTGTATCTGCGACGGGTAAACACCTTTTCTTCCAGTAGTTCTGCAGCTGCTGGCCCTGGTTGCTCAGCCAACAGTCCTGAGTCCTGTAACCCATTTTTCACCAGATATCCAGGAACTCCAATATCTAGTGAGGACCTTGTTAACCCGGGCGACGTCCGAGCCGGTATGGCATTCTGAAATTTGCGTCTCACCATATTTTTTATGGGAGAGACACTCTTTGTCTGACTCCTCTGATGAGACCTGTCCAGTATGGTTGAACCTCTGGCATAGCTCTCATCTTCCTCAGAGTACACAAGCCCACAACCACGTCAAGGTAGTGCCTCACTGGGAGGTGGCGTCCCGAATAATAATAATTATTATTATTATTATTATTATTATTATTATTATTATTATTATTATTATTATTATTATTATTGATCATCGCACAGTCAGCCAGCTGTTCAGACTGGATTTGGCATTTTGTCTACCTATCGAGTCCTTACCCAGGACCTGGGATAGGCAGATGTGGATGTTTGATGGTATTACAGATATCGTCGCAGGATGGAAGCAGTTCCTAGTAAGGCCGCCTTTTGCAATTGACTATTAGCAAAATTTGTCAATGCAATGGTGTTTCAAGTGGTGCTTCCAGTTGGTTTTGGATTGCGCCCAGGGCCTATGGGACTATTGGTACTACCCTTGCTTGCTTTTGCACAGTCTTTCTAGTTCTATTGTAGGTCTTGTATTTTGTTATCTCTCAGTCCTTTTTCTATTCTGCTGTCTCCAGGCACTGCCACGTCCACTATCCAGACTTTTTTGTCTTTCTTATCGACAATTGTTAAGTCTGGGGTGTTATGTTGCAGGTGCTTGTCTGTTTGAATTCTGAAGTCCCAGAGCAGTTTAATTTTATCATTTTCTATGACTTTCTCTATTTTATGATCCCACCAGTTTTTGCTTACAGGCAAATGATATTTTTTGCAGATCTTCCAATGCACCATTGTTGCTACTTTGTCATGCCGCTGCTTGTAATCAGTCTGTGCAATCTTCTTGCAACAGCTTACCAAGTGGTCCACTGTTTCTTCAGCTTCTTTGCATAGGCGGCACTTACTGTCTGTTGCTGTCTTCTCAATTTTGACTTTGTATGCATTTGTCCTTAAAGCTTGGTCTTGTGCAGCCAGAATTAGTCCCTCGGTCTCTTTCTTCAATTTTCCTGCTCTTAGCCATTGCCAGGTTTTATTATTATCTGCTTTCCCAGCTATTTTTTTCATGTATTGGCCATGTAGTGCTTTGTCTTCCCATGCCTCTATTCTGTTCTTCATTTGGTCTTTCTTGTAGGCCAGTTTGGTCTCTCCAGTAGTTAGTAAGCCTTCCTGATATACTAATTTCAGTGCATCTTCATCATTGTTCTTCAGATATTCTTCCAAAGCCATTTTTTCTTCTTCAACCATCTGATGTACTTGTAGCATTCCACGCCCACCTATTTGCCTTGGTAGATAAAGTCTATCAATGTCACTGCGTGGATGAAGGGCATGATTCATTGTCATTATTTTTCTGGTCTGCCTATCCATTGCTTTTAGTTCTGCTTGAGTCCAGTCCACTATTCCAGCTGTGTACCTAATGACTGGGATTGCCCAGGTGTTGATTGCCTTTATGGTATTTCCTCCATTGAGTTTGGACTTTAAGATCTTCTTCACTCTCTTGATGTATTCACCTCTAATCTTTTTCTTGACTTCAGTGTGCTTGATGTTGTCAGCTTGAAGGATACCCAAGTATTTGTAGTATCTTCCTCATCCAGACTCTTAATGTTATTTTCGTGGGGCATCTTGATTCCTTCAGTTTTCACTATTTTTCCTTGTTTGATAGTAAGTGTGGCACATTTGTCCAAGCCAAACTCCATTACAATATCTTGGCTATATATACGGACAGTGTTGAGCAGCGATTCTATTTCAGATGATGTTTTTCCATACAGCTTCAGATCATCCATGTAAAGGAGGTGGGATAGTCTAGCAGATGTTTTTGATGTTTGATAGCCATGTCCTGAGTTATTCAGTATTGTTGACAGAGGAAACAGTGCAATAACAAATAGTAATGGTGATAATGAATCTCCTTGAAATATTCCTCTCTTGATATTAACCTCTCCCAGCCTCTCACCATTGATCTGCAACTGTGTCTTCCATTGTGCCATCGATCTTTGCACAAATTTTCTGATGTTTCTACTGACTCCTGTTATTTCTAGGCACTTTATTATCCAATCATGTGGCAGAGAGTCAAATGCCTTTTTGTAGTCAATCCATGCCACATTCAGGTTGGTCTTCCTTCTCTTGCAGTTTTCCAAGATCATTTTGTCTATTAGGAGTTGATCTTTTGTTCCTCTGCTATTGGGGCGGTTTCCTTTCTGCTCAGGTGGAAAGAGATTGTTTTCAACTAGATGCTGTTGTACTGCATCAGCTACCACACCAGTTAGTAATTTGAAAGTTGTTGGTAAGCAGGTAATTGGCCTGAAGTTACCTGGTGTTGCCCCTTTTGCTGGATTTTTCATTATTAGGTAGGTTTTCCCAGTTGTTAGCCACTTTTCAATTTCTCCTCCTTGTAATATATTGTTGAATTGCTTGGCAATGAGTGGGTGTATAATAATAATAATAATAATAATAATAATAATAATAATAATAATAATAATTATTATTATTATTATTATTATTATTATTATTATTATTATTATTATTATTATTTTGGAGAAGGGCAATAACAGAATGAATGACTGTCTTCTGGCCCAGCTCGTGCGCTTCCTTGAAGCATCAGGATCATTGCATCCCTGAATCAGTGGATCCCTGAATCATTGCTCTGATCCAGCTATGTTCTGAAGCACGCAGTCAAGTAAAATACATGCCGGGAAGCTGGATTACGCACGTATGGATGCAAATGACATGGACACCACCTTCAGACGTCCATCTCACTCCATGAGACACCTTAGATCAGGGGTCCCCAATCCTGATCTAATAGCCTTGGGCTATTAGCCACTGGGCCACGTGAGTGGGGAGGGCAGTGCACGCGTGTGTGCACAAGCGCGCAGCCCCACTTGCGTGAGCTTCACCACAACTGTGGCAGATGTTTGCAGATCCACTCGTGCGAGTGCTCATGGCCCCATGCACACAAGCAATGGGTGTTTGTGCGTATGCGTGAGCATGGGCGTGTGTTTACCCCTCCCACAAAACCCTCCCTTCTTCCTTCCCCTCCTCCTGCTCCAGGCCACCAACCCCAAAATGTTGGGAAACTCTTGTCTTAGATAGGAAGAATAAAATGATACTTACAGGGAACGGGCCACCTGCTTGAGGTTGTCTGCACATCGAGGCCTGAGAATAGCACAAGTCTGGAAAAGCTCCAGAGATTCGTGAATTTTTCCTTCCAAGCGAAAGATCAAAGCTAGAAGTAACATTGCCATAACAGCGGATTAATCAGGAGGATTCCATGTTCCTATTTTAAGATGAATATTTTAATTTCTCCTAATGCTTTACGGAACGGTTCTGCCTTAAAGGACAGCCTAAAAATGTTTCAGATATGTACATGAGTGAGCAAGGAGATTAGTTGTCCTGCTCTTGGTTAGACTTCTATTCAAAATTGGCCTTCCCAGAACTATTTTTCATTTTAAAAACACACTGGAGTTGCAGCAAATAACCTGATGAGTGACATATAGATTGCCCCTCGGCTGCATGGAGATGTGATCCAGATTCTCTAAGTCACTCCAGGTAAATTAATTTTTTGAGTTTTGAATTTCATGTCTACCCTTCACCAAACAACCAGCAATGGTGCAAATATCCTGCTCCCAAGTTGTTCTATAAAACAGGATGTGCTGGATTAGTCAAGCACTGTAAGCTTTGACGATCCCCACAGAGGTGGCTGTGTGTTCTTACAAAACACATAAATGCAGCTGGAAGTCTGTTTAATCACAGAGTCATTTTCGCTTACCTTGAACATAGACGGCGTATTCACACATTCCTTGGGTTTCCTGCAGTTGCTCTTTGATAGCAATCTGAACCGCAAAGGAAGAGAGATTCAGTAATGGGCATTTTTAATTTGGAGAAGAGGCAGAAATGTCATCAGCTCTCCAACTGACTGGTCCTTTTACAACAGCAACTTAACGCTGAGTTAGGAAAGTTCGGTCTTTGGGGAAGGTTGGCACCAAAACTTAAAATGGGTGTCCTAAGAATAAGAGATGGTGCTAGGCAGGGCACAGGATGTGCATGTTTTTATTATCATTGTGTTTTCTATTAGAACAATGTTGCCTTACATTTTTGATCAAACCAAAGACCATCTGGAACTTTGAGCTTGTTAAATCAGAGCAGACAGACCCAGCTGTGCCTGAGGATGTGAGATGAATGGTAACAAGTGATTCAACAGGATAGGGTAGAATAGGGCAGGGCAGAGCAGAGCAGAGCAGAACAGAACAGAACAAAACAGAACAGAATTCTTTATAAGTGTGATCGGACACACAAGGAAATTGTCTCTGGTGCATTAAGCTCACAGTATACATATAAAAAGCAAATCATAGGTCGTAGGTCATAAATCATAATTACAATCATTAATCATAAGTTACAAACAACCATTGATAAATCATAAGAAACCAATGGGAGAAGATAGTAGGCAAGACGAGAAGATGAGAAAAGACGAGAAATGAGACTGAGCCGTGGGAATTAAGTGTTCAGCAGAGTGGTGTCTAATTGTTTTGGCATGCGAGTGTTGTAAGTAAAAACAGCCCTTCATCAGGAAAAAGGCCGCCTGAGCGAACACAACTTATGTGTCACATATTTCTTCTCCTCTTCCCTGACAGGTTTCACACTGCCACAAAACACTTGGCAACTTGATGCCGATATCGCTGACAAACTGCCGGCCAGGGAAGACTTATTTTTTTTCCACTGTACAGCATGATCCGCAATTTATAGAGTTATCCCAAAGACGGCCCCAATCAACTTCGGAACATACACTGGGTGGCAATCCTGGTTGGCGCTAACCACAACTGGTCACACTAATTAGGATTCTTGGATGGGGGGGGAGGGGAAAAATGGGTTCTGCAGGAAGGAAGCCAAACCGTGGTTTGGAGAGTCACGGAAAACGGAACTGAACGCCACGCTGGGAACAAAGACCTGGTTTTTTCCTCTTCTCTTGTTGACACGGTTGTTCAAGGCCTGATCTGTTCGCCTGCGGCTGGTGCTGCACTCAGTCTTACGAGTGCCCAGACAAATTTCTGCAGCCTTGTTGGCAACATTTTTGCAAGGGATATTTTTGGCCCTTTCTTTCTTTCTAGGGCTGAGGAAGAGTGACTGGCTCAAAGTCTCCCGCCCGTGCCTAAGGCAGGGCTGGCCCAGGGGATTTAATGACTTTGCCAACCTCGTTCCTACCTTACATGCATCGTAATCTTTGTGGACGTAGTACAAGTGGATCAGCCAGTTCCTCTTCTCCAGAATGGGAAGGTCGGGCCCTGCAAAATAGGAGGGCAGAACAAATATTTAGAGCAGTGCTTCTCAACCCTGACACAACTTGATTGGAACTCTCAGAATTCCCCAGTCAGAGATCTTAAACCTGGCAAGGTGGAGATTTAAATACGCCACTGACTCAAGCCTCCCACCAGGGCCACATAAAGCAAAAATCTGCTTTTCTTGCCAAAAACAGAGCAGGAGGCACCAGCAGGAGACAGAGGCCATGCTGTGCAGTGGGGGAGATTTTTGAAAGACCACTGCAGGAGAAGCTGAAGAGGTCACGGAATCTTGGTAGCCGCTATTCCTGCCAAATGAACTTGCGTTCCCATCTCCTTTTGGAGTTCTTCAAAGCCGTTCGTACCTCACCGAAAACAACCTCACGTCAAAAACAAAGGTAATACAGGCAAGTCCTCGGCCCACAACAAGTTTGTTTAGTGACCGTTCAGAGTGACAGTGGCACTGAAAAAAAGGAACTCGTGACCGTTTTTCACACTTACGACCGTTGCAGCCTCCCCAGGGTCACTTGGTCGGCATTTGGGGACTGGGCAACTGACTCGTATTTATGACGGCTGCCGCATCCCGGGATCACAGGATCCCGTCTTGCGACCTTCTGACAAGCAAAGTCAATAGGGGAAGCTGGATTCGCTTAGTGACCGTGTCACTAACTTAACTGTGATGGTTCACTTAACGACCGTGGCAAGAAAGGTTGTAAAATGGGGCACGACTCACTGAACAAATGTCTTGCTTAGCAACATAAATTTGGTGCTCAATGGTGTTGGTAAGGAGGACCACCTGTAGTCAAAGAAATGATCTCTTTTATCCAACCAACCAACAAACAGACTAGACTAGACTAGACTAGAAGAGAATAGAAGACTAAGAAGAATAAACTAGAATAGTAGAATAGAATAGATAGAATAGAATAAACTAGAATAGAATAGAATAGAATAGAAGACTAAGAAGAATAAACTAGACTAGACTAGAAGACTAAGAAAAATAAACTAGAATAGTAGAATAGAATAGAATAGAAGACTAAGAAGAATAAACTAGACTAGACTAGAAGACCAAGAAGAAACTAGAATAGAATAGAATAGAATAGAATAGAAGACTAAGAAGAATAAACTAGACTAGACTAGACTAGAGCTGGAAGGGACCTTGGAGGTCTTCTAGTCCAGCCCCTGCTTAAGCAGGAGAATCTATACCAGTGGTTCTCAACCTTTTTAATGCCACGACCCCCAACCGGTCGTAAGTTGAGGACTACTCAACTAGTGCAGCACCGTTTGCAGAATGGGGCTTTTGGCGGGCTCAGCAGGGCAGAGACAGCCTGGACAATTCCTATTGGCTTTTGAAAGCCAATAGAATTAGACTCTATTCAAGAGAGGGAGTAGCACAGCTAAGGAAAAGGGGGGAAAAAATGGCAGACTGCGTTGTTTGGCAACCCCTGTGAAATGGTCGTGCGACCCCAAATGGGGTCCCGACCCACAGGTTGAGTACCACTGATCTATACCATCTCAGACAAGTAACTGTCTAGTCTCATCAACATTTCAGGTCAATGGCAGAAAAGAGGTTCCATAAACTGAACACTGTCACACTAAAAAAAAAAAAAATCCCTTTAAATGGGCCACTCCCACTGAGTTCTTGGACGAGCTGAATCTGTAGGAATACATGATCCTTTATGCCAAGGTCTAAGGCTGGGGGGGGGGTGTTTCCCATCTGCCAACCCCCCACTGCCCTTCCAAAACCAGCTGGGGCATGCCTATTTTCCTGGAAGAAATGGGGAAATGACATTACACCCTTGGGCTGCCATTGTGTGATTTTTGCCATTTACAAAATCCTTGCAGACTGATTTCTTCTTATTTTAATGACACACAGGCTAACCCGAATTTAGTTCTTATTCTGGTCCTGCTGCTTCACACTTTTTTTTTTTTTAAAGATTACAGCCGCTGGCTTGGAAAAAGTTGTTCAAAAAACCCCCACAAAGCCTTTTAGAGATAATCGCTCATACTTTAAAGTGGGCCCCGAACCGGAGTAAATTTCACTCCTTTTTTCTGAATTCTGTGGAGCATCAGGCTGGTTATTGCTAGAAGGGCGGTGAGGCTGAGATAGCATGTCAAATCTTTTCCTCTTACTGCGGGGGTGTTTGGGGGGGGGGGGCAGAAGAGATCAATGTTAAGCTCTCTAGCAGCTCTGGCTCACAATACGATCAATAGGAGGGAGCCCCCAGCTACTAATCCCGATCCAGTATGGCTGTTCTCAACCACCTCGGTTGTTGGCTTGGAGGTTTTTAAGATGCCGCCATTCGCATCCCACCAACATGGCTTGAAGTGCGCCAAACCCATCCTTGCAGCTGAGATGGGGGAAAGCCAAGGTAACCATAGCAACTAATAGGGAGGAAAAAAAATGTAAGTGGATATGATGATAAAGGAGCTCAGCAGAAAACTGGGGGGGGGAAGCTGCTGAGACAGCAAATGCAGAGGTGACGGAGAGGAACGTCTAGGGCAGGCAGTTCACAATGCAAAAAGCTTTGCAGAGAAGGGGGGGGGGTCCGAGCTATTCTCCAAAGCCCAGGGAGGGCAGGACGAGAAGTAACGAGTGGAAAATTATCCAGGAGAGATTAAAAACTAGAGCTAAGGAGAAATTTCTCCTGTCATTGTGGGTTGGACAGCCATCGGTCAGGAATGGGATAGAGTCTTCTGCTTGAGCAGGGGGTTGGACTAGAAGACCTCCAAAGAAGAGGGAGCCAAGCTATTCCCCAAAGCACGGATGGAAACTAATCAAGGAGAGAAGCAACCTAGAACTGAGGACAAACTTCCTGACAGATAGAACAATTAATCAGTGGAACTCCTTGCCTCCAGAAGTGGTGAATGCTCCAACACTGGAAGTTTTTAAGAAGAGACTGGACAGCCATTTGTCTGAAATGGTGTAGGGTTTCCTGCCTGAGCAGGGGGTTGGACTAGAGGACCTCCAAGGTCCCTTCCAACTTTACTACTACTACTACTACTACTACTACTACTACTACTACTACTACTATTATTATTATTATTATTATTTCTCTTCCAACTTTGCTATTCTGTATTCTGAATTGAGGACAGGTTGTCCTCGACTTTCAACAGTTCGTTTAGGGACCGCCCCAAGTGACAAGGGCATTGGAAAACTGGACTCGTGACCGAGTCCCTTGCACTGGCGACCTTTGCAGCACCCCAAGATCAGATGATCAGAATCCAGATGGCTTGGCAACTGGTTCCTGTGTAGGACGGTTGCAGTGTCTCCGGGGGCCACGGGTTCCCCCCTTTGGCGATCTTCTGACGAGCAAAGGTCAATGGGGAAGCCAGATTCACTTCACAAACCGGGTCAGTAACTTATCAACGGCAGTGATTCAGTTTTTAATGACCGTGCCATGAACGGTCGTAAAGTGGGGCAAACTCACTTAACAAACGTCTCGCTTTTGGGGGGCGCGCGGCTCAACTGTGGCTGTGAGTGGAGGGCTACCTGTCATTCTTAATTCACATCGAGAAAGGCCTCCTTCCAAATGGCACCGACTCAGATGGGGCTTCAGGCTGCCTTAGCTAGGTCTCCCATTCGCCTTTCCTGGTTTGTTTTTAAATAAAATAAAATAAAATAAAAACCGGGGTGGCTGGGTAGGTGGGAGAATAAACCATCTGAAATAGGTTGCTTGAGTGCTACGGTGAATGCTAATCGCTGCAAGTAGACCTCTAGAGCGTTTGCAATATGTTGGACTCGCATACGCAATCCGACCAATTTATTTTCAAGGTGGCAGGAAGGACAACCCCCCCTTCTGTACGTGTGTGTGTGTGTGTGTGTGTGTGTGTGTGTGTGTGTATTCTGAGGTTTTCGCGGGTGTTTGTATGTAGGTCTTTGGTTATTCGGCTTTTCTCCCGCGTCAAATTGGAAGTGTCTTGGCGACGTTTCGACGAAGTCTCATTCGTCATCTTCAGGCTTTCGGCTTCGTGCTTCTAGGACGAATTGACCTTTGCTTGTCAGAAGATCGCCAAAGGGGGGAACCCGTGGCCCCCGGGGAGACTGCAACCGTCCTACACAGGAACCAGTTGCCAAGCCATCTGGATTCTGATCACCTGATCCTGGGGGATGCTGCAAAGGTCGCCAGTGCGAAAAACGGTCACGAGTCCCATTTTCCAATGCCCTTGTCACTTGGGGCGGTCCCTAAACGAACTGTGCTACTCCCCTTTATTCTATTGGCTTTTGAAAGCCAATAGAATAGATTCTCTTGAATAGAGTCTAATTCTATCGGCTTTCAAAAGCCAATAGGAATTGTCCAGGCTGTCTCTGCCCTGCTGAGCCCACCAAAAGTCCCATTCTGCAAACGGTGCTGCACCAGTTGAGTAGTCCTCGACTTACGACCGGTTGAGTAGTCCTCGACTTATGACCAGTTGGGGGTTCACAGCATTAAAAAGGTTGAGAACCACTGTTCTAGGCAAATATGCCTGAACAGTCAGTATCTCTCAGAGCAGGGGATCTAGCAATATTCCTCCAACTGTTCTAACTCTGCTTCAGGTTGGCTCCAGCTGAATTTACAAGGCCTTAACACCATCAAACTCTTCCTGTGAAACACATTTGTAAAAATATCCTTCGCTGCATCTTTCTTCCTCAGCCCCATTTCTATCCTGCAGACGGTCCAGCAAATGAATCAATAAATCTCTTTAAAGCACAAAATCTTGGCAACCCCAGCCTCCGCAGCTCCAAATATGGAATGTTTGCTTTCCTGGTTTCAGACAAAGCCAACTGTTGCTGTTTCTTTCCTTTTAGCTTTGCTTTGTTGCGCTAAAAATGTGAGGAAATAAAAAACATGAACGTTTCCATTTTGTGCCCGCATTTGAAAATTTTCTAGGTTAGGGGAGACTTATGCTTCACCTTTCAAAGCCAAGTAAACTGCATGAACAAGGAGAGAGATGACAGCAACAGAGATGCAAGGGAAGGATCCTGGCACACATTCAACCACCTGACATTTATGGGAATTGGTCTTACA